CAGACTATTATAACATCTTTTCACATGTTCAGGCCAATGTAACTGCCTCTTGTAATTGCCTCAGCCAATTCCACACAAAGTTTCTCCCTCTACTTCATTTCTTGTTTGATCTTTCCTTGTTTATGCAAGCTTGCTTTGCTCTACCATTGTGGCATTTCTATTCCAGTTGCTCCTAATTTAACTAGCATTTTTTTCCTGGTTGCACAACATTCCAAGTAAGCAAGTGTGAATTGAATAGGTCTCCATAATGATCACACATGGTTATTTTCATGCACTGTAAACTAGCAAACTTCTGTTTTCAGTGCTATACTTTGGTAGTTGGTCCTCCCATTTCCAAACCCTGCAGTATCTCAAGATGAATTTCTTTTGACAATACTGAGGTAGAAATAATGCGTAGGTAGTGCAAGCAACTCTTTTTCAATGTTTCTAGGAGGTGAAAAGTGGCTGGTGGTTTGTTTTTCCCTAAGCCCAGCCTCCACTGTGTGTGTGCATTTTTGCAGCGCTAGCTCCTCTGTCCTGCTGCTGCTTCAGTGCCATTTTTATCCCCCGCCCCCCAAAAGGCTGGTTTACCACATGATCTCAGTGAAAAAGTGCTGGTAAAAGGGAGAAACTCAGCAAACCAGATAAGAATTATGGCATAAGCTTCATGCAGGCATTCGCATGCAACACAGATTTGGTTGAAGTGGGGGAGCAGAACCTTGGTAAGGCAGGGTTCATGATTGCTGGAGCTTTGTAAGTGCAGTGCCCTTATTTATGCCTTTGCATTCAACGTGGGAAGAGCTATGATGTAAGCAGGGACACAGGTGAGTTTGGGGGTGGCTGGTGTGTGTTCACACACATTTCATACCCATTTGGGTTATATCTGTGGTTCAGATGAATGTCTTCATAGAACCGTAATCTCATCAGATCTGTATGCTTCTTATATTAAGACTTTTCACTGCTCTTACACTAAATGTGTATATGGCAGGGGTAGGGACATGATTATTCCCTTGCCTGAGGCATCCAAACTAATGGTGTCTGCTTTGCTGCTCTGCAAAATTGAGCTCATTGTTTGCTAATGTTGTGCTGCAAGAACTGTTTGCCCTCATCCAGGTCCAGCAGCATGTATTGTGTGTGACTAGTTGCAGCTGAATATAGATGCAGATGTGTATTCGGATGCACATGCAAATGTGGCTGTCAGTGTGCTTTAGGACAACCAAATGCACAATTCCATCCTGCCTCAATTTAGGCAGCTTGATCACGATGAGGACGCATCAGCATAGCCCAGCTTCCGCAACCCAGTGTCCCACCAGAAGGGGGATGGCCACATTGGAGCTGATGGGAGTTGGTCCAAAATATCTTGAGGGTATCAGATTACAGAATGCATTCCCTTGCCCACTGAATGTGTCATTAAACAGGGTGTGCTTTTTTGTGGGCTCCTGGACACAGGATGTAGTGTCCCGTGTAAGGACATCAGAAGACTCTGGTTGGATCTGGCCAACGGCCTGACTCCCTCCTGTTGCTTCACTACAGTTAGGTCCCAGGGACAGGAAGAGAGTATGCAAGGGCTGCTGCTGTGCTCCTTCGAATCACACCTCCCAGGTGAAAGAGCTGCTGCCTGTGTAACATGTGCTCAGCCTTAAGCAGTGCATAAGTAACCTTCCTGGGCCACCCAGTTTCTTCCAGTCACACAGAGCTTTCCCATTTGCACACACTCTCTGACTCCATGCCCAGCTTCTGGCCTCACTGTTTCGCTCCCTTCTCTGCCCTGGCCTAGCTGTTTTTCTTCCATTCACCTTTATTTTGCTGTTCCTCTCCACTCCAGTCCTCAAATCTTATTTCTCTCTCTTCTTTACCCTGCTGTTTCTCTTCAATTTCATTCTTTCGCTCCCCCTTTCCACTTTGTCTTGTGCTGTCTTCCTGCTTACTGAACATGAGTTGGTTTAGTTTCTTTCTTAATTGATTACATTTCTAAACTGCTCTCATTTTCATGTGTTTGAAATTGTTCTAAATTTAAAAAAAAGATTCTCAATATCTGCAAATCAATCATTTTCCCTTCTTTCTCCATTGCAGTATCTTAATTTAGTCATCTCAGTTTCCTTTTGGCTTAACTAAAGTTCTTCCTATTATAGGCTTTATTAATGTCCTTCCTATTATAGACCTCTCCATCCCAATGTAATCATGGAACAGTTGGTGTGGCTAATTTTAAAGGGTATTTTGGGGAAAGGGTACTTTGGCAGGTGTCACAAGCTGAGTTCCTTTCCTTTTCCTTTCTTCATCTTTTGCCTCCCTGAATAGCTGCTTTCCAGCCCATGTGCTTTCAACAGAAGTTAACAAACAAGCACATTTCAAACATATGAGGAATATATATTTCCCTTCAGGTTTTTAGAAGGGAAAAATAATATCTAAACTAGCCCAAAGCCTCAGATACCTTTCCTGGTAATAACAAGTGCTTATTTATTTATTTAAAACTTTTGTAGACCGTCCCCATTACCGAAGTCTCAGGACAGTTTAACAATACAAAATATAACTTACCATTCCATTGATGTATGATAAAACGGTTCCCCCCATTCCTGCAAATCCTCTGGTTAATCAGAAATGCAAATACCCAACAGAGGAGATTCACCAACAACTGTATCCTGGGTGTGCCGAACCTACTGATGTTTCATTTCTGGCAATAAACAAAGAATCCCTCCATCCCTGTGGCTTAAACTGGTGTGCAAGCAGGGTAATGTGCTGGATGAGTGTCAAAAGACAAGACAGCAGGTGGGTCAGTTGAGAAATGTGCAGCTTATCTTTAAGGGGGCTGTGCCAGAAGATGAAGGGCAGAGCCTCAGGGTGCTCCTGGATCCCTCCTTGTTGCTTGAATGGTCCTAGTGGCCTCCATGACCAGGAGCCCTTTTATTTACCTAGATATTTCCAGATGTGACCCTACCTAGTCAGAGATCCTGGTGGTAATTATCCATGCTCTGAACCTGTTTGCATTATAGTGGTGCATTGCATGAGGGACCACTTTGAAAATGGTTTGAAAACTTCACTTAGTTGATAGCAAAGCTGCTTGGTTACTAAGATTGCCCAATATGGGATCATATGGCACCATACTGGGATTGCCCAATATGATCATATGGCACCATCGTTTTGTCTGCTGTATTAGTTTTCAGTGAGTCTAATTCAGAGTGTAGGCATTTTCCTTTGAAGTGTGAATAACTTCAAATCAAAGTATCTAAAGGAATATCCTCTCTTGCATATGCCTACTCAGACCTCAGAGGCCTTTCTCCAGGTGCTTCCACCAAAAAAATTTAGAGAAGTGGCTGCCAGAGAGAAGGCCTTTTCAGTCGTGAGAACGTACTTATGAAATGCTATCCCAAAAGAGGTTCTCTGGCACGTACATTGTTATCTTTGTGACATCAGGCAAAAACTGGCATTTTCAAGAGTTCTAGATTTGTATAGCTACTTTAACTTTTCCTGTGTTTTTTGTATTCTATTGTATTATTTTAAATATTATCATTATATTTATATTTTAAGTGTTTGTATTTGTAATTTGCTCAGAAAACATTGGATATTGGTGAGAATAAAAAATATGATAAATACCATCTTGCATACACGTGAATACATTTGTGCCTTACAGATTC